CCAGGGTGTATTTGTCCCGGCGGCTCCCAAAGCTTGGTGTGCGGGATAAAGGCCATGTTTAGCGAAGAGATGACCCCAGTTGGGGGACGACAGAGATTAATCGGACTCGACGCGGAGTCCGGAGCAGGTGCTGGCGGCCCGCGGTCCTCTGTCATCCCCGCTCGCCGAAGCACCGTGGCGTGTGCCCCTCTTGGACACTAGATCGACCGCGACTCCTACCTCACCATCTACGAACCTGATGTCAGGTTCTTCGGAGCCATCGATCGCTTCTCCCCACGGGCGACAGGCACCCGCCATGGCCTGCCTGTGCGTCACCGTCAGCCACAGGACGAGGCTCAGGTTAAGCAGGAACCTTAGTCAGCACGCGATTTCCTGCTGGGAATCTTGGAATCCCTGGCCCAGCCGTGTAGGGCCCCCCTCTCCAGGAACGGCCTGTTCCCGTGTGACCAGCGGGATGGGGGTCCACGCCCCGACTTTTCTACCCTTTCTTTTCTCCCACGCCGTTGGGCGGGTGATGGCTTAAACTCATAGCAGGAGATTTCGTCACCTGCAGGTCCTGTCCCCCAGAGACGCCCCGTAACGCAGCCCTGGAGCCAGCTCCAGCTAGTCGGGGGAAAAGCCGAGAAGGAAGACAGTGAGAACCACGTGTCCACTGGGCTAGAACAACCCCAGGGTGGGCAAGAACCGGCTCGGGGGAAGAGGGCAGTGGCAAATGCCCCGTGCGAGGCAGACGCTCAGGGCTACTGTCACAGGGTCTGCATGACGGCCTTCGTGGGGTGGCGTGGGATGTGTGGGGTTCCGCCACCAGCCCATCACTAAATGGGTAGCTGCGTTTACACGTCTCACAGCTGCAGACCTCACGCATGCGCACCAGCACAGGGCTGGCAGGTGTAGGCGTGTGCTGGGAACGCATCTGCACCCGGAGTCCCTGGACCAGAGCCGGCTGTGTGTCTACGGGGCCCAGGGCGACACGGGACTCCTGACTCCTGGTTCAAAACACAGGCAGAATAGGCTTCCTGTCTTCCACGCGCTCTCTCTCAGCCCGGCGTGGGGTCTTTACTTGCTATTTAATGTCATACGCCCCCACCCCCATGCACGGGGACACCTGCGGGGTGAGTGCACACACTCAAAGGCGCCCAGGGCTGGCACCCAGCCCCGAGTCTCCCTGCCCCCACCCGGAGCAAAGGGTGGCCACAGTTGGTCACTGCTCGGGTGGAGGAGTGAGCAGCCGAGGACCGTGCGCGGGAGAAGGGGCGTGGGAGGCGGTGGGCAGTGGGGTCCCACGTGAGTCGAGGCCGTGACCCCCAGAGCCTGCTGCCCAGCCTGTCACATTTCCTCGCAAGCTCCAGTCCACGCTAAATGATTAAGCCTTTCGGGGTGCCCCCTGCAGGGGACCCGGCACAGGCCCCGTGGCCGCCGCGGCCTCACGCCCTGTCAGACACGCGCTCTGCCCCCAGCTCCCCGCGGGGCCAGCCGGCCGGCCAGGGCACCCGCGAAGGCCTCTCCCTCTCTCCGCAGGGGCGGTGAGGGCCTCCAGCATCTTCCCCATCCTCAGCGTCACGCTGCTGTTCTTCGGCGGGCTCTGCGTGGCCGCCAGCGAGCTCCACCGCAGCAGGCACAACGTCATCCTCAGCGCAGGCATCTTTTTCGTCTCCGCAGGTGAGTGCCGGCCCCCGCTCCCCGACCCGAGCTCTGCACGGACACCAAGCCCAGCTGGGGCCACGGGGACCAGGCGACGCTGCCTCGGGGACAAGCCAGGGGCCGGCCCAGCCCAGGGTGGCATGAAGGAGGGAGGGGGAGCCGGGGTGGCCAGGCCGCTCGGAGAGGCCGGGGCTGAGTGTGAGATGGTGTGCACACGCACTTGCATGCGGGGCCGGGCCGTGGACTCGAAGGGGTCCAGCCTCCTGGCCGCCCGCCGCCCCGGGCCCTTTGCAGCGTGTGTGCCGGTTAACTAGGGTTCACGCCTCTCTGAGAGCTCAGATCCTCACGTTACTCCGAGCATCTCTGGCAGCCCCAGACACTCTTGGGGAAGGCCAACGACAGCCTTGACCAGAAGGCGGCCCAGGTCACGAGGAGGGTGGGGAACGGTCTTAAAGAAGGGGGTTCCCTCTCCGCCCCCCTTCATCTCCACCCCCCCACCCCGCTTGCCTCGTCCTCCTCGCTTTCCGCGGAGTCTCCATCCCGCCTCCATCTCTTCCCGCCCCGCCCCCCACCAACGCCAAAGAACGAGGCGGGGCAGGACGTGGGACTAGCAGACGGAGAGGGGACTCGACCGTCCGCTGATGACCTTCGCGCTTTGCCCAGTCACGGCAGAATCTTTGCTGGGACAGAGACCGAGAGGAAGAGTAGAAAGCGGTGGGTGGGAGGGGCCTCCCCGCCCGGATTTGCGTTCCAGCCGCCCCTGGGGCCAGCTCCCTGCGACTCGGTCCCCTTTGCTGTGGCCGTGGGAGGACGGCCGGGTGTGGGAATCACGGCCCCTCTGAGGCCTCGCCCCCCCGGTCCCCACGCCTCCCCGTCCGTGAACGAGGAAGCTGGCCTGCATCTGAGTCTCCAGGAGCCCACTCCAGCCACGGACCAGGGAGAAAGCCGCCACGTGGTCGCCCCAAATCGGGCTGTGGCCCCCGACCTCGCTCTGGGTGGACCGAGGGCCACGCCGGGCGAACTCGGGGACCGGCCCTGCTTCGAGGCCCATTCGCGTCTCTGGCGGCCTGAGCAGACCGCCTCAGCTCCGACGGGCCCGGGGTGACGTGCTGTGCTGATGTGAGCGTTTCCTGCACAGATCATTATTTTGTCCCCCGAGGGGAAGAGTGTGCCGGCAGCAGCTTTCTCCTCATGAGAGGTGTCATCAGACTTGGCAGGTCGATGACACGCGTGGGGACTGGGAGCCACCAGGGGCAGTGGCGAAAGCCAGAGCTTGGCGTCGAACCCTAGACCCGCCCCCGCGGTCTCCCCAAGGAGCCCAAAGACCTCAGATATTCTACCCGTAACACGAAAGTTCTGGGGGATTCTGGACTCTCTAAGGCTGTTCTTCGCTCAGCAGTGACCAACCCTTTGTGAAGCACCTACTATGTGCCAGACGCTGAGGAGTGCGGGCTGTGAGGCCAGGCCGCCCACTCCCTCCCAGCTGTGCCACCTCCTGCAAGTCTCTTACCCTCTCTGGGCCTCGGTTTCCTCGTGTGGAAAATGGGGTTAATGACGGCCCTGCCTCTCACGGCGGTTACGACGTCTAAATGGCTTGGTAAAGTGCCCAGAACTGCCGAGCGCACAGGAGCCGCTCGATACCCCGCAGCCGCCATTACTGACATCGTTCCATTCAATCCTCAGGCCCCCTCGACGCCAACGCACACGGGGCGCTCTCGCTGTGGGTCGGGTCCTGGACGGGCACGTGGGGCCATGGCAATGAACGGGGTTCGCCTCGTCCCTGCCCTCCGGGGACTGATGCCCTTGGGGCAGGGAGGAGGTGACGGCCCACTCTACACCCAGGGCGCAGGGACGGTCCTCGGCTCCCATCCCGCCCCCGCCGACTTGGGGCGTTATCCCTCTGTGCCCCCGTTTCCTGTCTTGCAACACTGGGCTGAGAAGACACACGTACAGACTTCGCGCGGTGCCCGGCACGTGGTAACTGCCCCGGGGACAAAAGGCAACTCCCACAGCTTCCCGCCTCGCTTCGCCTGGTCTGACATCTGAGCTCATTTCCATTTTTTTTTCTTTTCTATTCCGGGTAAGACTTCCTTCTGCAGCTCCCGAAACTTTGCCGCCGGCATTTCCCTGCCTGCGGAGGGCGTCCGAGGGCGTCCCTGGACGCCGCCTTCGGCGAGCTGAGACGGCTTCGAAGGCTGTCTGCCATTAACACTTAAAAATTCCTGTGGCGCCCGGTCTCTCCTCCTTATTGTATCCATACTCGTTTTAATATAAAGGAACGTGTCTGCTCTACCAGTTTTCGAGCCGAGCTGACACTTCAGGACGAGGACCTGCTTTTCACCCCGTAGCTTTCCGCAGCCCACGCGGGGCCGGCGGGGCCAACCCGAATGAGGGACAGCTCAGCGATCAGAACTCGCCACCTAGCTGCCATGTGCCTGGGCCGGGCAAGGCCACAGGGACACAGGACAGAGGCCGCCCTGGTCCTGCCCTCCAGCCCTAGGTAGTGTGTGGCCAGACGTCACCTTCAGAATATTCGCCCCCCGCGGGCATGTGCACCACTGGTCGGAATGGAACCAAACCCGGAGGCCGTGCTATGCCAAGCCGGAATGCCTTGGATGCTGGACTGTGGGGAGATCGTGGGGTCCCCAGGAAGAGAGCGAGATGCTCACGGAACAGACGGCGGACTTGGGAGGCCACTGGACACGATTATTTCCTGATGGGAGCGAGGGTTCAGCCTCCAGGTGGCCTAAATTTGGAGGCGAGAAGATGCCAGTCGATGTAGTGGCCTCTCTGAGCCGTCGTTGGGCATCAGAGCCCAGACGAGGCCCTTGAAGCTCAGGGACAAGGGAAGATGGCCTGCCTTTGGGGCAGTGACGTGAGAAGCGGCCACACGTGCACGGCCCTCAGCCCAGGCTCCGATGTTCCTTCTTACCACTCCCTGGGGGCTCGGTCCCTCACCCACTCCTGGGGCGGCTACTTCCCGTGCCGGTCCGTTGGCACTTGGGGACACTTAGTCTGCAGACTTTGCCCACCGGGGACAATAGCTTCACGTTCCCCAATTCTTGAGACTTGGACCATAACTGGCCTCGAGCAGTTTCTTACCCTGTGCAGACATGAAGACTCGGTGGGTTCGTTAGCGTCCCAAACGGCATCTCCAGCCCCCGTGTGTCCCCCGGATGGTGACTCCCCAGAGGCAGTCCCAACTCGCCGTGCCCAGGTCTCTTCTCCTCTCTAAGCCTGTTCTCTCTGCTGCCCCTCAAGAGGCCACCGATGTCCCCGTGGCCCGCGCCGGAGCCCTAACGAGTCATTGCTTCCCTCGTGCCCCAGCCCGTCATCTCGGCTCAGCTCTCCTGCATTCGAGGACCCAGCACAAACGTCACCTTGTCTTCGAGGGGCAGCGGCTTAGTCGCCCTCTCTCCCCCTGGTCCTGAGCCATGTGTCCGTGTCTCTGCCTTTTGCCGTAATTACGTTTGCACGGTGGTCTCTGGCGAGGCACTCGAGGCAGGGGCCTGGACCTCACTCGTGTGACCAAGCCGCTGGCTTCCCGCCGAACAAACACTGAGCGCCGACGGAGGGGCCGCCGCCGAGGGGACAGGCGAGCGCTCCGAGCTGAGCCGCACCTGCCATGGTGCAGAGCCGGCGGCGTCTGCAGCGGAGGGCTCGCCACCTGAGACCCGACTCCTCGTTTCCCAAGAGACGGACCGTGTGGAAGAGCCCAGCCCCTGGGGTGTCCCGTCCACGAACCCACTCCCCCCCGTCCCCATCACCTCCGCCGTCTCTGTGACTGTCCCCAGACTGCAAGGGACAGTCTCCTCTGAGGTCTCTAAGCACCGTGTTCCTCTCTTTGCCTCCCCTAGGGCTCAGCAACATCATCGGCATCATAGTCTACATCTCGGCCAACGCCGGGGACCCCGGGCAGCGCGACTCCAAGAAGAGCTACTCGTACGGCTGGTCCTTCTACTTCGGCGCCTTCTCCTTCATCATCGCGGAGATTGTCGGCGTGGTGGCCGTGCACATCTACATCGAGAAGCACCAGCAGCTGCGCGCCAGGTCCCACTCGGAGCTCCTGAAGAAATCGACTTTCGCCCGCCTCCCCCCCTACAGGTACAGATTCCGGCGGCGGTCAAGTTCACGCTCCACGGAGCCCAGGTCCCGGGACCTGTCCCCGGTCAGCAAAGGCTTCCACGCCATCCCCTCCACCGACATCTCAATGTTCACGCTGTCCCGGGACCCCTCGAAGATCACCATGGGGACCCTCCTCAACTCTGAGCGGGACCACACTTTCCTACAGTTCCACAACTCCACGCCCAAGGAGCTCAAGGAGTCCCTGCACAACGACCCGGCCAACAGGCGCACGACGCCCGTCTGAGCGCCCTCGCCCCCACCCCCACTCGCCGCCTGGCGGGGGCGCACAGGCGTGTCTCTGAGGTTGCATGGCATGGTCCTCGTGATGGTATCACTTTTCACAAAGAATGAAACCAAACGGACTCCGCCCGATCCCACACCCCGTCCTGCGCCCTCCAGGCCCTGACCCCTCCGTCCCTCCCAACTTAGAGCCGAGCCCGGGCCACCCTCCCCTCTCCGCGTCTCTGTGGCAGGTGTCCCCCCCCCCTTTGCTGGAAGGACCTCCACGTTCTTCTCTCCTTAGAAGAGGACTCGACCCAAGGTCACGGGTGGCGGCTCATGGGCGGGTCCCCGACCCCCCAGGCGCGTACTCGGCTGTCCCCGTTGTCCACTCACACAAAACCCTCGGGGCGCCAACCTCGTGTGATTAAAGGTTTCTCCTTGTTGTAACTGACCGAGAGGCTGTCCTGTCTTCCGCGCGCCCCACCCGCCTGCTGCCCAGCCCTGTGCTGCCAGCCGAGCCTGGCTCATCTGCTCTCTGGCCGCAGGGGAGGCTCCCCCTCCACCCCTCGGGGCCGGCAGCGGGCTCCCACCGACGTCCAAGTCCATGTGGCCCCTCACCCGACTCTCTGGGGTGCAGCGTGTTCAAAGGCCTGGTTCTTGCACCCAGCAGCTCTAGGACCTGGGGAGGCCCAGCTCACCCTCGAGCTCCTGTCTCTTCTTTAAAACGGAACATGGCATAGAGCATCTCCCCACCACGGACCTGTGAGGCTTAGTAAGGTGTCACGTGTAGAATGGTTAGCACACTGTAAATTATATATACAGATTTTTAAAAATTTTCGGATGGATTCTAGATAGAATGAGCATGGCATTCATCCTCCAGGATATTGTAACAATAAAAACAAACAAACAAACAAAAAAACATGGCCCGCAGGGCTTACAAACCAGGCACGTATTCCTCCCAGTCTAGAGTCTGGAAGTCCAAGGTCAAGGTGCCGGCCAGTGGGTCTTGGTGAGGGCCGTCTTCCTGTCTTGCAGATGGCTGCCTTCGTGCTACGTCTTCGTGTAGTGGAGAGAGAGAGAGAGAGATCTCTCGTCATCTTCCAAAGCCACCAATCCCATCACAAGGGCCCCACCTCGAAACCTTCACTTCGTGGGTTAGGGCTTCAACACAGGCATATGGGGCAGGGGGCGGGACACAATTCGGTCCACAGCATGAAGGCGACGGCCAGTGGGGGCTGGTCGGTGTGGGGGGATGGGCGTGCTTTGCACAGGCTCTGGGGGCGCTGGGGTTGGGGGGACAGTGGAAGAGCTTTTGAGTATTCAGTAGCAGACGGCACGGGAGATGGATGTCACCTCTGCCGACATTGAGTTCTTGGAGCTTTGGCACACCCCTGGCCACCCTCGGGGACAGAGCGTGGTCACAGGCGCTCACGCGGCCCTACGCCTGCACCGCGCCCATGCTGTGTCACTTCATCTGCCCTGCCGTCCCCACACGCCGACGGGGAAACCGAGGCAAGACAGGCCGTGCAAGCCCTGGGAGCCGGCCGCTTGCCCAGAACCACACGGCGACCCTGACCGTCCAGCGCCGGCCGGTAACGACCCAGCTCTGCGTGCCCACCGCACTCACGCACACCGACCACCTCATCCGACCCTTCAAAAAACCCGCGTGCGGCGGGAATTGCCCCCGGGGAGGAGGCGGAGCCTCATGGAGAGCCGGTGTCTTGGGAGCCGAGGACCAGGGCCAGCACGGACCCCCGAGCCTCCACCTCTGAATCTGACCGTCATCCCCTTGGCCGTTTGCAAAGTCGGTCATTTCAGCGCGGCCCTTGTGACGCGTTTCCCATCCGCGTGCCACCTCAGCGACGAAGACCGAACGTTTCTCTTTACATCGACTCGCCTTCTGCTTCGAGAAGTGTATCCTGAGAGTGATGTCAATGTCACTGCCATCGAAAGAAAACTGGAATTATGGTCATCGACACGAGGTCACTGGGAGAGTAAATACGGTGGCGACAACACGGTCACCCCACATTCTAGCTGCCGCCTGCTCTGAGCTGAGGGCCCGCTGCCTGCTCTTCGCAAAAGGATGGAACCCAACACGTTAGAAAGACGTTAACGGTATCCTCACCCCGGCGAAGACGCTTCCCTGGGCTTAATCAGAAGAGTCACAGAGACGCGGAAAGGGAGTTAGGGTCCCACGGCAGGACTCGAGGCTCTGTACCGCCCAGCGGGCATCCCGTGCAGTGACCTCGGCCCGCCCTGGGAGGGGGCCGGAGCTGAGAGGCAGAGCAGGCGGGTGGTGAATACTGGGAGGTAGGAGAGGCGGCCCCCTGCAGCCCCAGGAATTAGCGGGGCCTCTGGGTGGTGGGGCAGGGACAGAGAGAAGGTCCCAGGGGCTGGACCAGCTGGACGCCTGCTCTGGAGACCAGGGTGCAAAGGCCAGAGAGCTGGAGGAGAGAAGCGGGCGTCCGACCCCGAGGAGGACCCCCACCCACCCCCACCCCGCTCCACTAGGCCTGGTCCTTGCAAGGCTTTGGTGCCTGGGCCTGAGCATCTTTGCCAGAAGGCCGCTCAGCGGACCCAGCTGGCTGGCCTCAAGTTAATGTCCACATGACCACCACGATGTGGCCTTGCGCCGTCAAAAGCACACCAACCAACAACTTTAGCCCATGCCCCGTCACATCATGCTACCGGCACGCCAGCCCATGTCCTCGCCGCCTCTCGGTCCCCTGACCCGGCCAAATGCACTCCTACCCCAGGGCCTTTGCACGGTCGTTCCTGCTGCCTGGACCTCTTCCGCCTCTTTAAGTGGCTTCTCACCCTTCGGGTCTGAGCTGAGAAGTCGCCTCTGCCGTCCTTCACCAGCTCTCGAAAGTAGATCCCGTTATGCTTCAGGGAGGTCCATGCCGTGCCCGTGACAGCTCAGACGCCTGTCATTGTGTGTATCTGTTTATTTACTAGGACTTATGTTCTGTGAGAGCTGCGTGCCTGCTTCTTTTTCCACTGTTGCCTTCCATGCCAAGCAGGAAGCTATTCACCCGGTGATCACATACCAGAGGGAAGGAAGGAAGGAAGG